GAAGGAACCATATACTGATTAATTTTATAGATACAGTGATCTTGTTTTGATTTTTTTCTAAACATTTTAATAAAATGTTTGTCAAAATCCTGATAAATTAACCTGACAGCTTTGACAGTATTTTATTAAGTAGAGTAAATTAGAGCGCGGAGTGTGAGTTTTTGTTTCTGGTTGTTTTTAGAGCAGGTTGGACCCACTTGGGGTGGGGATCACCATTTTGACAATCACAACAGTTATAATAATCACAACATTATTTTCACTTTACMATCAAACGATCACTGTGAAGCTGAAACTCGTCTGTGGTTCTCTGCGGTAGATGTTTATGTAAAAACCTTCAGTCTTTGCTCTAACAGAGCTCTCTGAAGTCACTAATCAGTGCATGAAAGAATACGATTTTTACTCGATTTAGCATCCCCTTAATGTCCCTTTGTGACTCATTACATCGTGCTTCCTTCAAGCCTTTTTTTTGATCTGCTGCAGAAACCATAGCAACACTGCTCTGTCCATCAAAGTGACTCAATGTAACATGTTTGGAGCACAAAGCAGCTCTGAGGTCACTGAAAGTCAGAGAAAGAAATAAAACTGTATGTTTCCGACTTGTGTTTGCACTCCTGCTCTACTCTACTCCTTTTTTATTGGTTTTCATTGTTTTTCTGTAGTTATGGGCAGTTTCGAGGAGGGCGAACGCACTCAGTCCGTCTCTCAGGGAGAGGGAGCCGTTGTTCCTGCACCACGCATTCGCAGCTTCCCCCAGCCGCAGGTCACCTGGTTCAGAGACGGCCGAAAGATTCCACCCAGCAGTCGAATGTAAGTTTGATTCTTTCAAGTATGTGTTCTTTTTTATTATTTGTGTTTGATCTGGAGAATACCTCTGCTGCTTTATTCTTGAGGATGATTGAGTGATTTAGCTTCAGTGAGACTTTCCCAATCTAAAGTTTTTCATTTATGTTGGAACTTTGTTACCTCCGCCAAGGGTGAGGTAATGTTTTCGGTTGCGTATGTCTGTCTGTCTGTCGGTCTTTCTTTGGACAACATTACTCAAAAACTTGTGGACAGATTGTCATGACATTTTTACCACATGTGGGTACTGGGCCAGGGAACACACCTTTAAATTTTGGTGATGTTCCGGATCACGATGCYGATACAGGAATTTTTTTCTTTRAACACTCTGAGATTGGCAAAGCTGTGATGCTTTCWCAGGGCTTCTGTAAAAAACAGTGAGCTGGATTACACCGCACGGACTTCAAACTTTATAAAAGTAATGTTAAAACCACATTTAATGATGAATAATTTTTGCTATAATGTGCGCATTTACAGAATGTTTTGTGACCAGGAAGTGCGTGACTGCACTGTGAAACCTATTTTTCCCATTTCATTAAACACACCACATTTCCGAAACAACCAATCAAAACAGTTTCTCGCTACTAGACTTGTAAACAGAGAG